GTGAATCACACATTTGACTAATGCTCAAAAGATTTGCTTTAAGACCATCAACAAGTAGAGCATTATCCAGCTTCGGAAGACCAGCAACACTTATAGAGCCCTTACCAATGACTCTAGAAGTGCCGCTATCTCCAAAAGTAACAATTCCTCCTTCATATTTTTCAAGGGAGGTGAAATAGGATTTGTTACCGGACATATGATGAGAGCACCCACTGTCAAGATACCACATGTGTGAATCACGTGCTTTTAGAGCAGTGTGAACAACTAAACAAGTCAAATCATCTTTTCTCACCCAAATCTTTTTAGTCTTGGTATTTCGCCTAGACATATAAGGTTGTCTCCTAACCCAAAAAGTTTTCGAATTTCTACCCTTTTGAGACACCTTACCAAACAATTCAAAACAATAAGGACGAATGTGGCCATACTTACCACAGTGATGACAAATAAAAACAGGTTTTACCTCCCTTTTGTTGATCTTACCAACTTTAGGTAGACGAAGAGAGAGATCAGCCTGGTCTACCTTCAACTTTCCCTTTGCTTGAGTCTTCATGTCATATGAAGTGGAGGCCTGTCCCTTGTGAGCTGTTGCACCATAGCCTAGCCCGCTTTTGTCACAACCCATTTGTTGAGACCCGATGATGTCTTCTAAAGATTTGGAACCTTTGTTCCACATGGCAATAGTGGCTCTAGCAACACGGAGTTCTTCATCTTTTTGACAGACTCTCTCTTCCAATGTAGCTTGTGACATCTCAAGACTTTCAAGCTTTTCTTCATATGTGGAATACACCTTTAGGAGTTCATTCCTTTCAGTTTCACAGGATAGAAGTTTTCCACATAAGTCTTGCCTATCACTCGAGATCTTGATGATATTTTGCTTTGCTGTTACAAGTTCTCCTTTCAGTCTGACATTCTCACTCTCACATGTTTTGAGCTTGAGAGAGAGTTTGCCGTTGATTTTCGACAAATTCAGAGATTCCTCGTACAGCTTTTCGTAGGCTTGTTGTAGTTCATCGCCATTGATCTCATCATTATCTTCAGATGTTTCATCATCCTCTTTTTGCTCTTCATTCTCCTTGACCTCATCCAGTTTGGCAACTAAGACAGAAAGATTGCTGGATGGTAGTGAAGGTGAATTTCCTCTTTCATGGAATTGGCTCAAAATTTTCCATGCCTCTTTAGCCTTTGTGCAATGAACAACCCGTTGCTGTTCTTCAGTAGAAATTGCTCCACGAATAGTGATCAGGGCTCTCTAACTGCTCGGATTGTCAGCCCTGTCTGTATCTTCTTCAATAGCCTGCCAGCCTTCTGGATAAAAAGATCTCAAAAAAGCCCTCATTCTGATTTTCCAAAACAGGTAGTTACTCCCATCAAAGGTAGGAGCATGATGCAGGTTCTGACCACGAGCTAACTCCACTGGCTTTGGAAGAGGTTAAGTGAAAGTGGACCAAAATGCCATGAAAGCACTATCCCCGTCTTCTCTAGATTCAGGTTCATCGGGTTCTTGCTCCGACTCGCTTTCATCATCCCAAGTCACAGTGTAGACTTTCTTTCGATTCTTTTTCGAAGGGCATTCAAGGGCAATGTGACCAAACCCTTGACACTCATAACACTTGACCCCTGGTCCCCTTACAATCTTTTTTTCAGTAGTTTGAGCAAATTTTGGTGGAACAGTTTTGGGTTTGTCACTACTCTTATCTTTTGAAATAGGGGCTCTGAAATTCGGCTTCTTTTTCAAAAAATTTTTAAACTGTTTTGTAAGCATAGCCGTCATCTCAGACTCTAAATCAAATTCAACCTCCGGAGTTTTTGCAGACTCATGAGCACTAGTGAAAGCCACACTTTCTTTTTGTTTTTTCTTTGAAATCTGGTGGGCTTCATAAGTCTGCAAGTTTCCAACCAATTGATCAAGCTTGAGGGTATCAACATTCTGAGCCTCCTCAATGGCTGTCACCTTTGGTTGGAACCTCTCGGGAAGGGACCTCAAACTATAACAATAGAGGAATATAATATTAGAGATGTGATTGAGACCCCCTCAATCACCAACCCCCACCACCCCCACACACACGTGGGGATTGGTGATTGGAGGAGAAGAAAAAAAAAAGAAAATCTGGCCAATCAATCCAAGAGGGGGTTGTGGGGGTGGGGGAAAAGGTGGTCCAGATTATTTTTGATAATATTATTTCACCACCATGTGTAAACTAGAGTTTCTAAACCCTACCAAATAGAGAGTTTCGAAACCCCATCACAATGAAACAATACCACAAATGTGAATGAAACTGATAACTACCAAAATAGAGGTAGTAACAAAAATGTAATGTATATATCTTTTTTCTATATAATATATGTCAACAATAGACATAAAGGTATAATAATCCAACAAATAATATAAATCAGGAAAAAAATGACCTCATGGAATAAAATTATAAATATATGAGATTAAGTAGGTTATAATTTTCTTTAGTGCTCGTTTGGTAATGAATTTTTTTGTTGGCTTTTCACTTTTTTGACTTTTTTAGGCTGTGACTTTTTTGGTCGTTTGGTATTATCCAAAACACACAATCTAAACCAACAAGCACTTACGAAAGTGATTTAGATTGTTTGTTTTTCGGAATAAACAATAAATCGACACAAACGATTTTTACGTGGAAAAAACCACAATTGAAGAACCTTCAATTGTAATAAAAAACCACGGGCGAAACGCCACTAATCAATCCACTATTGAAGTAAGAAAGATTACAAAGATAATATACAAATTACCCCACTCAGTCAATTTGTCTTCGAATCTTCTGTAACTCTTTCACCATGCCTTCGTCTTGGAACTGATCAATCCTGTAGTTGAATCCATAACTTCACTTGTTGAATGAACGACTACGTACAGAATCAAACTCCTTTTGATACTCTACGCTTGAATCTTCGGAATCCACCGAAGAGATCTCTCTCTTGAATTTAAAGTAACCAACTCCTTGATGTATGTATCTTAGATCATGATTGAAGAACTCTTCTCAAAACATCAAGGAAAACTCACAAAAACCTCAGAACAAAACTTCAAACAAAACCCTAGGACTCTTGAATAAGATCTACGAAAAAGTAGTCCTAAAAACAACCTAAACAGGTATAAATAGGAATCCTGAGTCCGCGATCTCCGCTCGAGCGGCCAACATCCCGCTCGAGCGGCCAACATCCCGCTCGAGCGGCCAACATCCCGCTCGAGCGTCTTTAGCAAAATCTGCGTGCGACAAAACAGAGTTCCGCTCGAGCGCTTTATGACCCGCTCGAGCTCGAAATCATACCTTCCAGTATTTTTACAGACCTGACAAAATACTGAGAGACTACAATATACGCTCGAGCACCAATGGTCCCGCTCGAGCGGGAAGAACAAAAACACAGGAAAATTACAACTTGTTCAACACAAAGTTTTGTACCCGGATTTGACAAACAAGGGACCTAACAATAATTAAATAAATCATCAAAATAAATTTTAGATTCTATTTTTTTCTTTCAAATAAATTAAAACATAATTAAATAAATCATCAAAATAAATAAGTCTAACAATATGTTCTGCAGAGGGTTTATAAGTGAACAAGTTCATGAGAACAACTTAAATTGTGCTAGATAGTTAGCTTGCCCTAGCTGATTCTGTCAGACTCTTCACTAGTTGATGTATGTGTTGTGTAGTCATAATGGCATCACCCTAACAAACTGACAGAATTAATGGAATTTAAATCAGAATTTGGATTGGAAAAGGTAGATCTGTAAATAAACACAGATGATATTTTTGGTCCAAGAACAAACTTATGTGGGGAGGATTGTACATGATCTTGACTTGGACAAGGCGAGGTGAGTTGTGGAGCGAATGCATTTGCAGAATAGCTGAACTAGTGTAAGTGGTGCCACCGTGCCATGCTTCAAGTTGAAGGCAGTGCCAGGAATATCAGTCAGGTCAGAAGGAACATCGGTTGAGATTGCAAGAAATTGATTTGGCCAATGTCCCTTGAGTTAGTTGACAGCTATAAATAGTTATAATTCGTCAGTTCCTTATGGTTGGGATGAGGCTGAATTTGAGTGTCATTTCTTTATCAAATTATGCCATAGAAATGCAAGGAGGTTTGTGTTTTTATTAACATCGATTCACAGTTGGGGAATGAAAATTGTATAGGTTTCCGTTAGTCTTTGCTGTTAGAGTTCAGAAAATTTTCACAAAGTCATCAAAGTCCATGGCCAAGGAAATTTGTCAATCAGGCTGTGTAACTCTTTTTGTTAGGAAAGAACTATCCAATTTCTTATTCTTTCTCTATTTCTCTTTTCTGTGTGGATGAGCTATTTAATTTCTTATTTATTTATTTATATTTTTAATGCTCTTTAATTTTTAATTTTCTTCACTCATATTGATGAGTCTGCCTCCGAAGTGATTGAGAAATACAATGGTTTAGTTAATTCAATTGTATATTCACTTTTTTACAGATTGTTCAATCCTCTTTTTTGTCAAAACTGTGACCAAGATGGACACATAATTTTCCTGGCCATTTCTGGTCCAGGTTTCATCTATCTGTTCTCATTTCCAATGTATTGGTGTTTGGACAATCGTCTGGATGTCTCTTTTCCATGCCTGCATTACACTGTATATTTACTTCTTGTAGCAGCCGAAGGTGAAAAGATATGGATGATTACAGTTTTGACTGATGTAACGTGGGCAGACAGACTTGAACGATGATGACAAGGATGCTGTACAGAGAGATGCTTAATGTTGGCGAATGAGGTTTTTTCTTTGAACCTCGGTTTCATATTTTTGTCTTGCATTTAATTATTTTAACTATTAATTTTATTTCACCTTTTTTTTTTTTGGGGGGGGTTTTTTTTTTGGAAAAACAACCTGTATCAGCGCAAGCTCTGTGTACATATGTACGTTTATGATGATAGAAAATTTTCACAATGTCTTCAACTTGGTGCTTTAATTTTGCTTATTATTTTGTGCTGTTTGTTTGAGTAACTTGCAGTTGACATTTATAAACCATAAATTATCTTTATTGAGAAAGGAAGAGATGAAGCCTCTTCAGTCATACAAAACCATGTCAACCCCTAAAAGAGGCCATCAAAGAATAAACAGTACAAGCAACACTCAATGATATGGAAATCCTTAAATAAAAAAATTTTAAAAAAAAAAGGAAGAAAAATTAATACAGTAATAATAATTCGGTATTTGACTGATGGAGCAGTGAGATGAGGGAACTCAATATAAAGTGGAAGTTGAACCATAAGATGCGAGGAATAGGAGGAAGAAGAGCAGAGAAATTGTCATCCTAGTAGAACTCGCATCTGATGAGCTGCTTTGCGTTGATGGTACAGTTTTAGACCCAGTTCCTGCACCCATGTAAACATCAACATGAATGATTTGATATGAACATTCTTGCCACTGGAAAAGTTTAAATGTATGTAGATGGTTTTTAACTACCAACATATATGATTTTATAATCACCCTAATATACTGTAAAAGCAAAATAATTTCAACTAAATGGCATTGAAGATAATATTATTAAAATAAAAACAATAAGGTTTTATACCTGAAGGTACCGTGTTAGGAGATTCTGGTGTGCCTGCGGGTGACTTGGCCGGGGAAGCAGATGGGGGACCAACTGGCGTAGCCGGGGAAGCAGCTGTCTCAGGTAGAGATGTTACAAGTTAGTAGAAGACTAGATTTTAAACATTTTTAATGTCATATTTACAGGGTATGGTTTTTTATTTTTATATTTTTGTTAAATGAGGTATTGATGAATGATGAATTTTCATATGAATTCTTACAATTGCAGCGGCTTGTTGGTGGGGTCTGAACATTGCAAGCTCCAGGAAGGGCCAGAGCCTGAGTTTGGTTGATATTGATCCCCAGGGATGATCCACCACCATTAAGCACCTGGCACAGGCACTGCGGTTGTGAGCGAACAACATTGGCAAGCTGTGTGCAGCATCCTGAAGACGGCGTCGAAGAGTTCCCCGTAATGTAGTTGAGGCACGGGGACATGCTAATTATCGCGTTCGTACAACTCGATGATGACTGGGCTGCCGCTCCTGCCCAGAGCATGGTCACCACCACCAGAACCACCGTTCCCATCCCAATTCTTTGATGTGCCATCGGAAGTTCTCGGATCGTTGCCAAAAAATGCTAGTTGAATTAGATTTCTTGGTAAGTAATCTTGAAGTTTGTAGTGTGATAAGTATTGTGGAAGGAGAGAGACAGGAGTGTGGGGCTTATATATAGGAAATTTGGAGATTGGCTTGTAGAGGATTCAAATGGAGATTGGTCAGTGTGGGTGACCAACTCTTATGGTCAGTAACTGACTTTGAGCGCTCAGATGTTGAAACTTGATCTGTTGTTTGTTTTTATTAGGTGTTTGGAGGAATAAGTGGCAAGAATTAGTTATGTGGGTGACCAACTTTCTCTACTACTTCCTATATTTTAAGGGGTGAAGCTTTGCTTAACAATAAATTATAATGTGTGCCTGACTCTTTTTTTTTGTAGATTTTGTCATTGTTCTGTTTCACTTTGAAGGACTTGAAATTGTTTTAGAAAGCTGAAATTCTATAAAGAATTATTTTAATCCCTCCAAATTAGCGACACCTGGCAAAAAAAGGGTGGCACTTGTTTGTCTAATATCATTGCATTAACGCAAGTTTGCATCTAGAATTTGAAAGAAAATGGAAGGGAAATGAAATAACGTGCACCTATATTTATTTTTGTGTGTCAACTGTAAAAATAAGAATTAATTACTTAAAAGTTTTATTTACAAATATTTTGTTAGTTCAGATTCTTTATAAGATTTTTTGAATCAAAAAGTCTTATTTAATAAAATTGAAAATATTATCAGTTTTTCTCAATTTTGAAAATTAAAAATATTATTAATTTTGTATGGTAATGTTTCAGATAATTGTTTCACCAACTGATAAAAAATAGAGCATGAGATTAAACATTTTTACCTTTCTATTTAATGGTTTGATTCAACCATCCAATAAAATTGAGAATATTATTAATTTTTTTTCAATTTTAAAACTTAGAACATTATCTGTTTTTTCATTTTTATTTATTTATTTCAGTTTGGCACATCCATGCTTCATCAACATGTTCCTTTATAGACACAAAATTATCAGTTTTGCACAAAAAAATAATTTTGTTTTTTTAAAAAAAATTATAAAAAAAAATTCAATTTGAAAGATGATGTTTTAAAGTTTTGAAAATCAAATAAAATGTCAAATCATCATATTCTTTTATTGATAATCATAAATGATGAATAATCATTGTTTGAACGACAATTCAGACTATTAAAAATGAATAATGTTAGAGACCCCAAATATTCTACCAAATGTCTCACATGTGTGGGACCCACACCCATGTGAGACATTTGGTAAAACTTTTGATAGAATTTTTGGAACTTCTAACATTTTTGATTAAAAATTTAATGAGACTTGAAGATTCAAAAAATCTTAATTATAACTTAATGGAGTATATATTCATGATTGTTCATGGGACTTTGAACCTTCAAGTCCCATTAAAATTTTAATAATCTGAATTATCCTTCAAACAATTATTGTTCATCATTTATGATTATCTATAAAGAAACATGATAATTTGACATTTATTTTGATTTTCAAAACTTTAAAATATCATCTTTCAAATTAAAAAAAAACTAAAAACTAAAAAACATTATTTGCAAAAAAAAAAAAACTAAATGTTTTTTTTTTTTTTGAAAAATTGAAAAAATTGAATTATTTTTTGTGTAAAACTGAAAATTTTGTGTCTATAAAGAAGCGTGATTATGGAACATTGATGTGCAAAACTAAAAAAAAAATAATAAAAAAAAAAGTAATAAAGAAAACTTTAAAAATGAAAAAACTGATAATGTTTTTAGTTTTAAAACTGAAAAAAATTAATAATATTCTCGGTTTTATTAAATAGTTGAATTAAACCAATAAGTAGAATGAAAAACTATTTAATCTCGTACTCTTTTTTTTATCAGTTAGTGAAATAATTATCCAGAATATTATTATGCAATGTACTTAGTTTTAAAAATTAGGAAAAACTGATAATATTCTCAGTTTTACTAAATAAGACTTATTGGTTCAAAAAATCTTAGATAAAATTTGAATTATCATAATATTTGTAAATAGAACTTTTAGATAATTAATTCAATAATTTTTGGATAATGTGCTCATTTCATATTATATCTCTGTATATATCGTCTCATATTTGTATCTATATCTATGTTCATCCTTCCTAAATTTTAATTATCAACAAATTGAAACATTTTTTTTTTTTTTTGGATTCTTAAATTGGTGCAGGAAAGAAACTGTATGAAGTTTGAAATTGTGCACCCTGGAACAGAAACCACGTAGCAAGTCGTATGAAATTCGATTTACTTATTTATTTTGATATTTAATATGTTTATGGGCTTATTGGTTGCAGTTGGATTGGTATGAATTTTCAAAAAATTTAATCCTACTGCTATTAAGTATTATTATAATTGTAGTGTCGTGAATCATTTTATTTAAATTGGTGAGAACAAATTACGTGACCTTTTGATTTTGATTTTGATTTTGACTTTGTGAGGATGTTTGGCAATTTTTGAGTTTTAATTACTCTTAATTTTTTTTGGGTGTTAAATCTATATATAAATTTAATTTTTGGAGTTTTATTTAATTGGTCCAAATTTAATTGTTTTAGTCTGTATTTAATTATGTTAATAATGTTGATCACCTTGAGTTTATTTAAACTATTTTTTCTTTAATCTTAGATGGAGATTTATTCTAAAACTTCATTAATTTTAGATATAATTGATTGAATCACGACCCGTTTTTAATCATGTATTGTTATTATTATTATTATTTTGTTTTATAATCTTAAAAGAGTTACAAATATTTATGACGTATACTATCAAACTAAATATATTTTGTGATGAAAAATATTATACCATTGTCATTTACATTACAAATATAATGATAACATATATAGCCTAGGCATCGTTTGGGAAGTGGTTTTGTAGGCTTTTTTGACTATTTTAGTCATAAAAGACAAAATAGGTTATTTTAGTCACAACAAACAAAACATCACATCAAATCCATACCAAATTTTTTAGCCCAGGCTAAAAAAGTCAAAAACTAAAAAGCCAATCCACTTCCCAAATAAAGCCATACATATATATATATATATATGAATATGTTGGCCCCGTTTGTTTGGGGTTATAGGAAGGGGATTGAGACTACTAATACATTGGTATTACTAATACCTTATTATTACTAATACTTTGTTTGTTTTGAGAGATGGCATTGGAACTACTAATACCTTGGTATTACTAATACTCTTGAAAGGAGATTCATAATGAGGAGGTAGAGATGGTATTAAAAAAATAGTGAGGGGATTAGAAATATCTTTATTTTTTATATATTGAAATTTTTTTTTTAAATATTAATATTTAATTTTTATATTTTTTTATTTATTTTATTATTTTATATAAAAATAATTTAACAACTCCTCACTATTAATCCCCTCACTATCAATCTCCTCACTTACAATCATGGAATAATAGATATTTATATATATATATATATATATATATAATAATTATGAGAGGAGCAGCCCAGGTGGGGCTACCCCGTTTTCGCTCCCCTTCATTTCTTTTCTTCCTTTCTTTTGAAACAGCATACCCCTCACTGTCTCCCTCTCTCCTTCGGCTCTCCATCTCTCTCTCTCTCTCTCTCTCTCTCTACTCTCTCATTTCTCTCTAAACACCATCACAAACTCTTATTTTGCTTCTTGATCTAGTAAAATCATAGATTTTTTGGCCATAGTTCTTGAGGCTAAATTGATGAGCATCTCGAGAGGAGTGTTTTGTCCGGTGGAAATTGAAATCCGACAACGTCGAATTTTGGGATTTTCATTCATTTTCTCTCCTAAGCTTTGGAGGTAGAAACTTTCTAAACATTGTGTATGTGTTTTAACCTTATCATGTCTTATTTTGATAGTGTGATTTTTTATTTTGAGGAATGTATTTTTTTTTTAATGAGAAATCTCCAAATTTTAGTAAAATCCTACAAATTTAAAATGTTAAGATTCAGATTATGGCTAAATTTGTGAAAAGCTTATAAGTGTTAAAAACATATGGTTATTTGAACAAATGAGAATTTAAAAGTAGATGTTCAAAGTGATGAGATTAATGAGAATGTTGTTGGGAGTATTGGAAACCATTGAGGTTTCTCTTGGAAATTGTTTAATTTGAAAATATTGAACTCTTGAGAAAAATGAAAAAATATTTATCATATTGAAATATCGAAAAATGTTAAAAGAAACATATGCTATTTTTGACATTATGAAAATTCTTGGTGAATTCTTGAGTTTGAATAAAACGGGAAGATTGATGAAATTTTTTAAAGAATATTATGATTCTTGATTGAGTTGGGAAAGAGGAGATTGAACATGTGATTATTATTCCTATGTTGAAATTATTGAAAATATGAGATTATGAGTTATATTTGTCTTTTGAAATTTATATTTTGTGAGAGATAATTATTTTGACAATGGGTGGAGGATTGTATTGATTGTTGTAAAAATTGCATATGAATTATGTAAAGTTAAAATATTTGCAAACTCATGCATAGCATTGAACGTTGCATAATCTCATGATTTAATCTCCGCTATCTGTCCAAAATTAGGCGTATTGGAAAAAATCAATCTGCATCCGTCCACCAGTTTGGCAGATGCTGATTGAGCGGGTTGTGCGGGTTAGCGGATGGATGCGATCGGTTTGACGATTTGGACTTTACAAATTTTGAGGGTTTTTTAAATTATAATTTATAACTTTTTACAGTCTCCAATAACTTATTTTGATAACTGGTGGAGGATTGTATTGATTGTTGTAGAAATTGCATATGAATTAGGTAAAGTTAAAATATTTGCAAACTCATGCATAGCATTTAACGTTGCATAATCTCATGATTTAATCCTCGCATTGGATTTGAGAAATTAGGAGTGATTGCGAATCGGGTTGGGTTGGGTAGCATCCCATCTATTATTCATCCAAAATTAGGCGTATTAGAAAAAATCAATCCGCATTCGTCCACTAGTTTGGCGGATGCTTATTGAGCGGGTTGGCGGATGGATGCGATCGGTTTGACGATTTGGACTTTAAGGATTTTTTTGAATTATAATTTATAACTTTTACAATCTCCAATAGCTAGTAATTTGAAAAAATATGTATTATTTGTTTATAATAGGCCATGGCACCACATGTATGTTTTTAAGGTATTGTTTTTCATTTGCATAAAATTATATATTTTATTATTTCTACTTTATGTTGTTACTTGCTATTATTATTTTTTTTTAATTTTTGAACTTCATCTACGGACGGATCGGGTTCATGTGGGTACGAGATGATTGATCCATCATCCGAACCATATCCGTGGATTTTGAAACATTTCATCCGCATCCATCCGCTAAAAGACACGCATCCGCTCAAAATCAATTGGGTTGGATCGGTTCGGTCGGGTTGGACGGATCCATGATGAGAAATTATTTTTTAAATTGATTCATTGGAAATATTTGAAAATGTGTTAAGAATATGATAAAAACTTCGTGAAATTTGGTCGGGTGTATAGTTTTAGAATTAAGTTGACCTAAATGTTCATAGTGAAATGAAAGACATAAAACACGCGCGGAGCAGGTACCACGTGCCTTCCAGTTAGATGCCAATAAAGTGGGTTTAGTAAAGCCTTTAGTGACCTACTTGCAGACACCTTACCTGGGGATTTCCAGTGTCGTATTTATCATCCCTTGTTTTATCAAATGGATGATTGAATTGATTATGTTTTCGAACAAGTGCATGGCATGAGAATTTCAAAATGAGAAAACCTATGATTTTTGGCATTGGCATCTTATATGCGTTGCACCTCATGATATTGTTAAGCTATATGCACTTTATTTAGATTATCTCTGCTGAGCTTTATGCTCATCCCTTAGTGGAAACCATTTTTCAGGTGATTGTGGAGTGTCTTTGCCGAAATAAAGGCATGGAGAATCTTTTTTGAGTGCAAGGCTCAATTGTTCATTTGTTTTGTTTTGCAAGCCAAGGGCTATCTATGTGTGAGTTTGAAAGCCACTTTATTGAAACCGGACAAAGCCTTGAAACTTGTAGCCATTAAGACATTAATTTGTATTTAAATTGTTTTAACTTATTACTATTACATGCTATAGATTTATATCTTAGAGATGATGAAAATATTAACGCATGTGGTCACACTTTTGTTAAATCTCATGTTGAATATTACTAATGGAATGATGAAGATCTAACGGGGATATTGATCATTGAAATGTCTATAATACTCAATGTTTATGTATGTAAATAATTGGAAGTAATGGAGTTTAGACTATGTACATAAGTTAATCTAGATATGTCGAATGTCAATATTTCGGGGCATTACAAACCACTAGAAAATTTGGTCTTGCCTTTAAAATACCTTATGGCTGTCTAACCTGTAGGTAGTCAAGCTTTATTAAGGCACATTCTGCACATTGTCCTGTGTTATGCACATTAGCCGATAACTTCTAGGTAACACTTGTCTTGTGTTCCTCTTTCTTAGTCTGTGTGTTACTGAAATTCACATCTCAGACACATTAGATGCTTGAAAATTCAGGTTACTTATGACTATTATGTAGAATGACTGCAAGGATGAGAAAGGACTGTAGTCTAAATGGTTGAGAGATAGGCGGTCACGATCTGTGTTACACATGGACTTGGATGAGTATTGGTTTCATAAACCTAATATTAGAATATTTAGATATGTATTCAAAAGTTGGATATGAGTACGGAGACATGTCATGGACACATATATATTGCTTATTGTATAATATTGTTGGATAAAATGTTGTAAATTAAGTAGAAATTTACATGAAACTGAATAGGAAAATATGGGAATATTTATCTCTCATCCATGTGATATCTTAGAAATGTTTCTTTACTATCAAATGTAAGTTTTTTCTTATTCAAACAACTTAAAAATTAGAGGATCCAAGTGTCTAATTGGATACGGATGTTGGAGACATCCTACACTCTTATTCTTGTCACATCCTGTGGACATGGGTACTTTGGGGGAATACAGTTGAATGGACTAGGGGATTGTCTAAATATATCCACCAATCAAAATGGCTTGCTCAAGCCATGACCTTATGTTTTATTTTTCCCTCGGTAGGCTTGATTTGGCTGAACGTAAGTGGTGCCAGCCAGGCTTTAAGTTGAAGGTGGTGCAAGGAATATCGATCAGGTTGGAAGGAACATGGGATTGAGATTGCAAGAAATTGAAAGCTATATATAGGTGTAGTTCTTGGGTTCCTTATTGTTGGGATGACCCTTAATTTGAGTGTTATTTCTTTATCCAATTCTGTAAGAAGTGTATGGACATAGAAATGCAATGAGGGTTTGTGTTTTAATTAACATCGAAGTACAGTTGGGAAATGAAAATTTCATAGATTTAGATAGTCTTTGATGTTAGAGTTCAAAGAACTTTCTCTAAGTCCTCAAACTCCATGGCCAAGGAAATTGTCTATCAGCTCTGTAACCCTTTCTGTTAGGAATGAGCTATCCATATTCTTATTCTTTTTATTTTTTTATTTTTTTATTTTCTCTCTCTCTTTCATGTGTGGATGTGCTATTTAATTTCAATTTGTTTTTTCATCTGATTGTTTTATTTATTTATTTATTTTAAGTTGTTGAATGCTCAACTTCCTTTTTGTTCCTATGGGTGTATAATTTTCTTCACTCATATTGATGAGTCTTCCTCGAAGTGATCGAGAAATACATTGATTTAGTCAATTGTGTAGTTTCATTTTTAAGGATTGTTACATCCTTTTTTAGTTGTCATAACTGTGACTACCAAGATAGAAGGATAATTTTCTGACGTAGTGTATTTACTTTTTGGATCAGCAGAAGGTGAAAAGAAACGGGTGATTACAGTTTTGAATGACGACAAGGATGCTGTGAGAGTATACAGACAGATGCTTATAGTTCGTGATTGAGGTTTTTTCATTGAACCCCGGTTTCATATTTTTGGCTTGCATTTAGTTTTTCTTAATTATAATTGTATTTCATGTGCTTTTGTCTCAGATACAACCTGTATGAGCACAAGAAAATTTCACAATGTCTTCAACTTGGTGCATAAATTTTGCTTATAAATTAGCTTTATTGAGAAGGGCAAAGACGAAAAATTCTCGAGTCATACAAAGCCATATCAACCCGTAAAAGAGGTCATCAAAGAATAGACAGTATGAGCAACACTCAATGATATGGAAACTCTCACACAAAAAAAGAAAAAATAAAAATAAATACATCAATAATGATTCGGTATTTGACTGATGGATCAGTGAGATGAGTGAACTCAACAAATAGTGGAGGTTGAAGCATAAGATGCAACGAATAGGAGGAAGAACAGCAGAGAAATAGCCATCCTGGTAGAACTTGCATCTGATGAGCCGCTTTGCGATGATGGTACAGTTTTAGACCCAGTTCCTACACCCATGTAAAGTTTGTTAACATCAACATGAATGTTTTGGTATGAAAATTCTTGTCACTGGGAAGGTTTAAATGTATGCCAATGGATTTTAACTATCGACATATATGATTAAAAAAAAATTATATACCTGAAGGTACTGTGTTAGGAGCTTCTGGTGTGCCTGCAGGTGACACGGCTGGGGAAGCAGTTTTCACAGTTGGGGAAGCAGTTGTCACGGTTGGGGAAGTAGATGGAGAAGGAGATGGAGAAGCAGATGGAGAAGCAGCTGGCTCTGGTAGAGATGTTACAAGTTAGTGGAGGACTAGATTATTATTGAAATCCAATCTTTGGGGAAAAACATTTTTAATGTCAAATTATACTATGATTTTCATTTTTTAAAAATTTATTATTATTATTATTATTTATTTTTGTTAAATGGGGTGTTGATGAATATTAAATTTTTGTCTGAATTCTTACCATTGCAGCGGCTGATGGGTGGAGTCTGAACATTGCAAGCTCTGGGAAGGGCCAGAGCCCGAGTTTGGTTGATATTTATCCCCAGGATCGATCCACCACCACTCAGAAGCTGGCACAAGCACTGCGGTTGTGATCTAACAACATTGGCAAACTGTGAGCAACATCCTGAAGACGGTGTCAAAGAGTTCCCCGTGATGTAGTTCAGGCACGACGACATACTAATTATTGCGTTTGTGCAGCTCGACGATGACTGAGCTGCCACTCCTGCCCAGAGCACGGCCATCATCGCCAGAATCACCGCTCCCATCTGAATCCTTTGAAGTGCCATTGGTAGTTCTTGGATTGTTGCCGGAAGTTGAATGAGATTTCTTGGCAAGTAATGTTCAAGTTTTAGTGTGATGAGTGTTGTGGAAGGAGAGACACAGGAGTGTGGCTTATATAGGAAATTTGGGAAGAAGAGTCAAATAGCCAATGTGGGTCACCAACTTCTGTAGTTAGTAACTTGATTTTAGAGGACTTACATTTTGTTTACACGCCTGACAAAGGAATTGTTTGGTGCAGTTTGAAGGCTTTCATTTTCTAGTTATTAGATAAACAGTTTTTTTAAGATTATTTATGCTATTTTTTACTTAATAAGTTGTAAGTAAAAATTACACCCAACAGTCTAGTATAGACTTTTAGGATATGTAAAAGAAGTTATAAGTAGCTTATATAAATTGCACCAAACAACTTTTTAAGTTGTGTGAACGAAACATGTATCTTGTGATGTTTGTTTAGGGATCTAGGGGAATAGATTGCAATAGATTAATTATGTGGGTGACCAACTCTCTCTACTAGTTGCTATATTTTAAAGGGGGTTCAAAGTGGTAGACTTTTTAAAACTTTTTTCCAAGAATAAAGGATAACGTGTGCCTAACTCTTACCTTTTCTAGGGTTTGTCATTGTTATGTTTCACTTTGAAGTATTGGAAATTTGTATTCAATGTGTTTGGTTTTAGTTTTTTTTTTTATAATTTTTAGAGAATATTTTTAATTTTTGAGTATTTTTTTTTTATTTTTTTAGATGCACCTTACTTAGATGTATCTAAAAAATAAAATATTTGTGAAAAATATTTTAAAAAATTAATAAATATACAAAAATATGAAAAATATATTGATTTTTTGTATTTTTGATATTTAGTGAATTTTTTAAAGATTTTTTCACAAAAATTGTATTTTTTAAGTGTGTTTATGTTAGGTGTGTCTAAAAATTTTTTTAAAAAAATTTGATGAAAATATTTTAAAAAAATTAGTAAAAACAAAAAAAAAAATGAAAAACAAGAAAGTAGAATTTTTTAAAAAATGAATTCTAAAAACTGGAAACAAACATGTTGAGTACCTTTTCAATTTTTTGAATTTAAATTTTTAAAAATTGAATTTTTTATTTTTCATATTTTTTCTATTTTTAGAATTTTTTTAAATTTTTGAAATAATATTTTTTACTTTTTCAATCTACCTAAAAAATAAAATATTTATAAAAATTAATAAATACATAAGAGTATGAAAATATATTGAATTTTTGTATTTTTTTATATTTTTGGTATGTAGTAAATTTTTAAAAGTTTTTTTGACAAATATTATTTTTTTAATTGTATTTATATTAATTGTATTTACAAAAGTAAACAATTTTCTTAAAATAGTAAAAAAAATCACTAAAAATAAAAAAATACAAAATATATAAAACTTAATTTTTAAAAAATTGAATTCAAAATTAGAACTAAAAAAAAATGTCCTGTCATATTGGTTTTTTAAAACACTCACGTTCCGTTTAAATTTAGAATTTGTTGTGAGAAAATGAAAGGCCAATGAAATTACTTGTTTGCTATAGTTCTATAATTTGCCTTTTGCGGGTTCAACTACTATCAATAGCAATTTGATATTATTTACAGTGGTTTATTTCTTAACCATCATGGGAAAACTAATACTGATCGTTGAGCTTGGACTTGGTAATTGATTAGGTCAGCTTTGTTGATTTTTTAATTATTGTGCGTTAATAGTTCATTTGTTGATGTAATATTTTTTATACTTGTAAATATTCTCCTATTGATTGATAATATATATATAGAACAACGCTCTAACTTGAAATCACTCATTTCTATTTTGTTTTTAGTTTCTATTCAATTTCTTGATAGATATTATCAATTGAACTAAATTTAGACAATGTAAAATTTTTTAAAACAATTGGTACAATTCAAACTACAGAAATCAAATTGATGTAAGAAACAAAATACAGAAACTAGTGATATCATTTTTCTCTATATTTATTTTTGAGTAACTAGAAAGGACCATATTCCAATGTAACAAAGACGGCAATGGGTGAACAGTTACAATTAATGGACAAACAACAGACTAAATTTAGGGATGATTTTGGATGATTTAAATAAGTATACTTTTTGATTTTTTATGAAATATGAGTTGAGTATGGGTTGAGTTTGAAGTGATGTGTTAGAGAAGTGATATGACTTAAATAAGATAATGCGACTTAAATAAGATAGTGACTTTTTAACTTTTTGAGATCATACCAAACAAGGCCTAAAACATAACTTTTTTGATAATTGACTATGCATTTGCTTCTTGAGAAAGTTTCTTTTATTTCATTTTATTTTGTATCTTTATTTATTTATTGGCTAACAATCAAAGAACCAAACAAAGCATTAGGCCCCGTTTGGGGATTTACCTTTTTAGCCAAAAAATCAAAAAGTTACCCTTTTAGCCAAAAAGCCAACAACTCATACCAAAAAGTCAAAGATTCTCTTTTCTCTCTACTTTTTGCACATCTTTTCGTAATTAGCCAAAAAGTCATCCCAAACATATAAGTTTTTTTTACTTACTTTTTTAATCAAATGGTCAAAAAGTTACTAAATTAGCCTGTTCCCAAACGAGGCCTTAGTGCACTTGCGTAATTGAATTAAAAAAGAGTTAAAATTTACTTTGGGCTCTCTTGGTTGGAATGTCCTTATCGTGGCTATTATTCTCAAATCTCAATTAGGATATCTATCCATGTTTGGATCTTCTTGTTGTAATCATTTTTTAGTGTTGGCAGAAAAATGTGATGTTCAATTATAGGATAAGCTTATTATGCACACTTTTAAATTGGTAGATATGGTATATTTGTTCGTAATTATATTACAAAAATTCAAAATATAAATTTCAAAGAAAACATAACAAAAATTTCAATATTCATAACATAATCATAAAGAGTCATAATTAAAAAAAGAAAATTATTACAAGACTAATTCACACTGGTGGGGTTTTTTTTTTTTTTATAGAAAAATTCCATTGCAATGGATTAGATACTAAGTTTGGTATCTTGCTATAATATACATCCGGAGTGTAAAAACAATTGGTAGGAGAGGAATCAGAGAAGGGAAAGTTGCATTGTGTAACAGTGAAGTTCAAAATCCAAATATCATGTCTGGTAAAGAATTCAGATCACTTCTCAAAACTATTGCACATCTACTTTTGTGTTTTCTGATAAAAGAATAAATAAATGAAAACACAGCTAAAATGTCCTTAAAGAATTTCTCTGTCCTCTTCCTATTCCTTCTCTCCAAGTTGGTTTATGGCAAAGCTCTTTATCATTTATTTTCATAACAATTTTCAAAATCATGGACAACAACCAAAAAGCGTGCTCGTTAAATTTTTAATAAATAAGCTCAAACATTCTAAAGCTTGGCTCATTAACTAACTCGTTTAATATTTATTATTTATCTATTAAATAATATAAAAATATGTATAAAAAATACGATAAATATGTTATTTATATATTTAAAAAATATTAATGTAAATAATATTAACTATTCATAGTATATTTATATAATAGTGGTAGTAGATATTATTATTTTGTTAAAATATTGACTTTTTTTAGTATGTTTATAGATATTGGTAAATTACACTGACACCCCCTGAGGTTTATATTTATTACAGTTCTCCCCCTCACCTTTTGAAAATTACATCTTCTCCCTGAGATTTAAAGTTTCATTATAGATTCTTCCATCAGCCCTTTTAATTTTTTTTAAATACCAATTTTACCCTTATTAAATAAATTACATTGACACCCCTCACATTTTAGAAATTACAATCCCCTCCCTAAGGTTTAAAGTAGCATTACCAATTGCCCCCTCGGTTAGCATTAGGTGGAAAAAAAATTAATTGAAAAAAAATTTTGTTAGTAAAATTTTTAAATTTTCGTTTAAAAATCAACGTAAACTCATTTTTTGAATTTATGTTTTTTCCTCAAATTTACAAACTGAGACGACCATTTATATACCAAAAAAATTTTCAAACAAGTTTTATGACAGTTTTTAAAATTTTTGTAAATATAAATTGAAAATTGAAAATTGAAAACCGAAAATCGAAAACGAAATGGTTACCAAATAGGTCTCAGATGGTAAAAATATCGTAAAATTAACAAATAATTAAATAAGTTACCAACGTAAGATATGACTTATCAAAAGATTCTTAGGCTATGTATAATTTGATTTTTAGAATTTTTTTTTTAAATTAAAAATTAATTTGGTTAAGAAATAAAAAATAAAAAAAATTATTTTTTAAACGAAATGAAAATTATTTTTTTATTTTTTATTTCTTAACCAAAATAATTTTTATTTTTTTAAAAAAATTACTAAAAAGCAAACCATACATAACCTAAGAATCTTTTGATAAGTCCTTTTTTATGTTGGTAACTTATTTAGTTATTTGTTAATTTTACGACATTTTTACCATCTGAAGCATGTTTGGTAACTATTTCGTTTTCAGTTTTCAATTTATATTTACAAAAATTTTAAAAACTGTCATAAAAATTTGTTTGATAATTTTTTTTGTTTATAAATGGTTGTCTCAGTTTGTAAATTGGAGGAAAAAACGTAAATTCAAAAAATGAGTTTACGTTGGTTTTTAAACAAAAACTTAAAAATTTTACTAACAAATTTTTTTTCCAATTAAAATTTTTTTTTCAATGAATTTTTTTTTCAACTAATACTAACCGAGGGGACAATTGGTAATATTACTTTAAACCTTAGAGAGAGAATTGTAATTTCTTAAATGTGAGGGGTGTCAATGTTATTTACCCAATGAGGGTAAAATTAGTATTTAAAAAAAATTAAAAGGGCTGAGAGGGAAATCTACAATGAAACTTTAAACCTCATGGGGAGATGTAATTTTCAAAAGGTGAGGGGAGAAACTGTAATAAACATAAACATCAGGGGGTGTCAGTGTAATTTATCCTATATATATTGTATATATAATTGTATAATCAAAATTTTAATTGTAATTTTAGTCTCATAAGTATAAATTTAAAAAAAAAATTGGCCAGTTAAAACTCGTGAACCGACTTGAGCTCAAGTTAAGTTTAAGCTAACTCAGCTCGAGCTCGGTTCTTAAATTTTTATGGAGCTCAAACTCAAACTTGAACTCGTTAAAATCTTAATAAATAAGCTCAAACATACTAAAACTCGTATCGATTTGTTTGCAGCCCTAATCACTAGTGAATGTGGGCATTAGTCAGGGTAAAAAACTTTGCTCAGTATTCTTAAAGAAAATTTCACAGTACAAAAGTAGTAAATGGAACTTAACATTATATATATATATTTCATTCATACATGTATCAAACCAAATACTTCAAAGAAAACATTATATCATACACATAATAGTCTTAAATTGTTATAGAAGCTCCAGATCTCCCTTAGAATACTCAGATTTTGCTCGAAATTGAAGCGTACAAAGCCAAGAACAAAACGGTGACAAACTGAAGAGGCATCTTTGTAGTACTGCCATCGGAGGTGGTGCCGCCTGATGGAACTGTTTTAGATCCTGCTCCTGCTTCCATTCATATATACGAATATGCTATAAGTTGATTGATGGTAAGGATGGGTTAAAAGAAAATCAATTGACAACAAAGTATGGAAATGGCTACACTTCAAGGGGTTTAAACCAAAAATGAAGTAAGCTTATCAAGTTGAATGTTAAAAGCTATTGTAGACCTTTGTTTGGGCAAGTCATTGTATTACATTGAATATTGAAAAGTGTATATGAAGGTTTAAACCTCTTCTTGAAGTGTACTTGGTGGCAGTCCAATACTTGGAGTAGTTTAGAATTTAGGGTTAGATTTGACTGTCAGATAACAAAATAATAATTATGAGCTCTGGTCAACATTGACATATTTGCTCCAAAAGGCCCATGTTTTATTGAAAATGGGCCAACGAGTAAAACCCATAATTTGGTTGGGACTTGAGCCGAATTTTGGGTAAATTCTCTCGTTTATGCCTTCAAATTAATGATCTGTACATTTCTTTTAAAAAAAAATTGTTTTGCTTATAACTTTTCTAGAAATTTCGGTTTTAAGTGCGGTTTTTTTTTACACATTTTTTTTTCCCCTTTCTTCTTAATATCTAAATTTCAGTTTGACTCAAATTCCTTATTTTTGTTTTTTATAGTTTTTTTATTTTCTTAATTGTTGTCATCATTAGCACGGAATTCCTATAGTAAGTTATTTCTGATCTCTTTAGGCTTGTCGTTTATCATAAAAAACAATTTTAAGCCTTTTTAGGGCCTTTAGTTGAGGGTTTTGTATCTACCCTTGTCCCTATTTTCTTTTGGTATTGTTATAAATTGAAAGAATTCATGTTACTACAGACTCTACATCTACACATTTTTGCAAAAACACAACAATGTATAGTTATAGATGCAGATTTCACATATGCATATATACCTGAAACTGATGAGCTAGTTGGAGAATCAGGAGTCCCGTTCAAAGATCCTGCTGGCATTCCTTCTGGAGAACCAACAAGTGATGTTGCCGGCGAATGACCAGCTACACCTGCAATGAATAAGATCAAACATAAGAATTGTGATTGTGCTATATATATCACAAATTATGTTATGAAATTAGGGGGTGAAAATTTATGACACAATAATACAATCAATGAACATTTTACAGTAGTGACGAATTTGTGACAACATATTTAATGGAGAATTAATTTAATGTTATTTTGTATGCTGAATCTAATTATATATTATAATAGAATTTTGTGGTCAATATAATATTTTTGCTTTCTATTTGAAATAATTTTTTTTTTTTTTTGGTTTATTATTTTAGAATCAATCTAGTGAACTAAGTAGATAAATAAATAAATAAAATAAAATCAATTGACAACAAAGTATGCTATAAGATCCTGCTCCTGCTTCCATTCATATATATATGTATATGAATATGCTATAAGTTGATTGATAGTAAGGATGAATTAAAAGAAAATCAATTGACAACAAAGTATGGAAATGGCTACACTTCAAGGAGTTTAAACCAAAAATGAAGTAAACTTATCAAGTTGAATGTTAAAAGCTGTGGTAGACCTTTGTTTGGGCAATTCATGTATTACATTGAATATTGAAAAGTATATATGAAGGTTTAAGCCTCTTCTTGAAGTGTGCTTGGCCGTAGTCCAATACTTGGAGCAATTTAGGACTTAGGGTTTAGATTTGATAGTCAGATAACAAGATAATAATTATAAGCTCTATCCAATGTTGGCATATTTGCTCCAAAAGGCCCATGTTCGATTGAAAATGGGCTAATGAGTAAAACCCATAGTTTTGTAGGGACTTAAGCCAGATTTTGGATAGATTCTCTCGTTTATGCCTTCAAATTAATTGTCTTCGCATTTTTTTAAAGGGCGAATTACATAATGGTCCCTATAGATTGAAGCTTGTGTCACTTTGGTCTCTAACCTTTTAATTGTGACATATTTGACTTTAAATTTTGAATCTTGATTCAAATAAGGACAGTTGAAGATAGCATTGCTTAATTTTAAAGGCAAAATCGTCAATTTGATAAAATATAAACTAATTTGACAAAAATAAATGTCAAAAAAATATTTTTGAATTTTTAAAAATTATTTCTACCCACTAAAGATAAAATTATGTAAAATTGATAAATCTCTTAGACATTTATTTATTTTATTTTTACCAAATTAATTTTTATTATGTGTTCAAATGATGATCATGTAATGGGTGGATGTTTTAATTTTCATTAAATTAGTTTCTATTTTTTCAAAAGTCAAATATGACGACAACTTTGATATTATTATTAAACCAATCCATCAAATAAAAAAATTCATAACTAAAAATATTTTATATATTAAATATATCGATTATACATTAAAATCCTAACAACCACTCATTACATGATCATCATCCAAACACATAACAAAAATTAATTTGGTAAAAAATATGTATAAAAGATGTATCAATTTTACATAATTTTATCTTTGGTTGGTAGAAATAATTTTAAAAAATTTGAAAATATTTTTTTGACATTTATTTTTGTCAAATTAGTTTTTATTTTATCAAATTGACCATTTTACCGTTGAAATTAAGTAAGGGTATCTTCAATTGTCCTTATTTAGAACAAGATTCAAAATTTATGGTCAAATATGGTACAATTAAAAGGTTAGGGACCAAATTCACAATTAAAAAATTTCTGTTTTAAATGCGGTTTGTTTTGACACCTTTTTTTTTTTTCCTTTCTTCTTAATATCTAAATTTCAGTTTGACTCAAATTCCTTATTTTTATTTTTTTATAATTTTTTGTTTTTCTTAATTATTATCATGATTAGCAAGCAATTCCTGTAGTAAGTTGTTTCCTGATCTTTAGGCTCGTCGTTTATCATAAAAAACAATTTTAAGCCTCTATTAGGGCCCTTTAGTTGAGGGTCTCTTGTCCCTATTTTCCTTTGGTATTGTTATGAATTGAAAGAATTATAAAAGAGTTGTAATGATCATGTTCCTACAGATTCTACATCTACACATTTTTTACAAAACACAACAATGTATAGTTACAGATTTCACATATGCATATATACCTGAAACTGATGAGCTAGTTGGAGAATCAGCAGTTCCGTCCGAAGATCCTGCCGGCATACCTTCTGGAGAACTAACCGGTGATGTTGCCGGCAAAGGAGCAGCTACACCTGCAATGAATAAGATCAAACATAAGAATTGTGATTGTGCTATATATATCACAAATTATGTTATGAAATTAGGGGGTGAAAATTTATGACATGAACACAATTATAGCATGACACAATAATACAAAAGATGCACATTTTATAGCAATGACAAATTTGTGACAACATATTTAATGGAGAATTAATTTAACGTTATTTCGTGTGCTGAATCTAATTATATATTATAATAGATTTTTGTGGTCAATATAATATTTTTGTTTTCTATTTGAAATAATTTGTTTTTTTGGTTTATTATTTTAGAATCAATGTAGTAAACAGTAGATAAATAAATAAATAAAAGAAAACCAATTGACAACAAAGTATGCTATGAGATCCTGCTCCTGCTTCCATTCACATATATATATATATATATATGAATATGCTATAAGTTGATTGATAGTAAGGATGGATTAAAAGAAAATCAATTGACAACAAAGTATGGAAATGGCTACACTTTAAGGAGTTTAAACCAAAAATGAAGTACGCTTATCAAGTTGAATGTTAAAAGCTATGGTTGACCTTTGTTTGGGCAATTCATTGTATTACATTGAATATTGATAAGTGTATATGAAGATTTAATCCTCTTCTTGAAGTGTACTTGGTGGTAGTCCAATACTTGAACAATTTAGGATTTAGGGTTTAGATTTGACTATCAGATAACAAAATAGTAATTATGAGCTCTATCCAATGTTGGCATATTTGCTCCAAAAAGCCCATGTTCGATTGAAAATGGGCCAACGAGTAAAACCCCCACTTTTGTTGGGACTCAAGTCGGATTTTGGGTAGATTCTCTCGTTCTATTGGGACTTAAGCCGGATTTTGGGTAGATTCTCTCGTTTATGCCTTCAAATTAATGATCTTCGTATTTTTTAAAAGGACGAATTACACTAATAGTTCTTATAATTTGGGACTTGTGTCACTTCGGTCCTTAACTTTTTAATTGTGACACTTTGGCCTTAAATTTTGAATCTTGATCCAAATAAAGGCAGTTGAAGATACCATTGCTTAATTTTAAGGGTAAAATTGTCAATTTGATAAAATATAAACTAATTTGACAAAAATAAATGTCAAAAAAAATACTTTTGAATTTTTAAAAATTATTTCTACCCACTAAAAATAAAATTATGTAAAATTGATAAATCTCTTGGACATTTATTTATTTTACGAAATTAATTTTTATTATGTGTTTGGATGATGATCATGTAATGGATGGTTGTTTTTATTTTCATTAAATTAGTTTGTATTTTTCCACAAGTCAAATATGACAACAACTTTGATATCATTATTAAACTAATCCATTAAATAAAAAAATCCAAAACTAAAAATATTTCATATATTAAATATATCGATTATACATTAAAATCCTAACAACCACCCATTACATGATCATCATCCAAACACATAATAAAAATTAATTTGATAAAAAAAAATGTATAAAAGATTTATCAATTTTATATAATTTTATCTTTAGTTGGTAGAAATAATTTTAAAAAATTTAAAAATATTTTTTTGACATTTATTTTTGTCAAATTAGTTTATATTTTATCAAATTGACAATTTTACCGTTAAAATTAAGTAATGGTATCTTCAATTGTCGTTATTTAGAACAAGATTCAAAATTTATGGTCAAATGTATCACAATTGGAAAGTCAAGAACTAAAGTGACACGAGTTCTAAACTATAGAGACTGTAAGTGTAATTCGCCATTTTTAAAAAAAATGTTTTGCTTATAACTTTTCTAGAAATTTCCGTTTTAAGTGCAGTTCGTTTTGAAACTTTTTTTTTTTTTTCCCTTTCTTCTTAATATCTAAATTTCAGTTTGACTCAAATTCCTTATTTTTATTTTTTATAATTTTTTGATTTTCTTAATTATTGTCATGATTAGTAAGGAATGCCTATAGTAAGTTGTTTCCTGATCTCTTTAGGCTTGTCGTTTATCATAAAAAACAATTTTAAGCCTTTTTTAGGGCCCTTTAGTTGAGGGTTTCTATCTACTCTTGTCCCTATTTTCTTTTGGTATTGTTATAAATTGAAAGAATTATAAAAGAGTTGTAGTGATCACGTTACTACAGATTGTACATATACACATTTTTGCAAAACACAACAATGTATAGTTACAGATTTCATATATGCATATATACCTGAAGCTGATGAGCTAGTTGGAGAATCTGCCGGCATACTTTCTGGAGAACCAACCGGTGATGTTGCCGGCGAATGAGCAGCTACATCAAACATAAGAATTGTGATTGTGCTATATATATCACAAATTATGTTATCAACTTAGGGGGTGAAAATTTATGACACGAACACAATTATAGCATAACACAATAATACAATAAATGAACATTTTACAATAGCGACGAATTTGTGACAACATATTTAATGGAGAATTAATTTAATGTTATTTCGTGTGCTGAATCTAATTATATATTATAATAGAATTTTGTGGTCAATATAATATTTTTGTTTTCTATTTGAAATAATTTGTTTTTTTGGTTTATTATTTTAGAATCAATCTAGTAAACAAAGTAGATAAATAAATAAATAAATAATAGCATTTTGTTTTTTGAAACTACAAAAATGAAATTGAGTTGATGTTAAACTTTTTTTATGAATAGTTTCATCAAGCAGAGATAGTTAAATGAAATTTAACTTGTGAAGAAAAAAAATAAGTTTTCATATATAGTATTTCTAATTGAGGGTGAAAACACAAAACAGAAAACAAATCCAAAATGACACAACAAGATAGCACAAAAAATAAATAATTAAATGAATAGGTAGTGTTGAGAAAATTCTGAACACAACATGAACACGATCGACACATGCCGACCCCTATACGAAACCTGAAGAATAGAAAGGGGTCATTAGAGCTTTACCATTACATTCACTAAGTGGTGGAGTTTGCACATTGCAAGCACCAGGCAGTGAAAGAGCAAGAGTTTGGTTAATGTTGAAACCCAAGACTGAGCCACCATCACCGAGGGCGGTGCAGAGACACTGTGGCTGTGATTGAACCACATTAGCTAGTTTCGAGCAGCATGAAGAAGTCGGGCTTGAGGAATTTCCAGTGACATAGCTGAGACATGAGGCCATGCCAATGAGCACATTGGTGCAACCTGATTGAGCATTGGCTTGTGCCCAAAACCCGGTCACTAGGACAAGGGCTAGACCCATCTGAATCCAACTTGGAGCCATTTGATGATGATTTTTAATTTTCTGTTTGTTTCCAGGGAACGTTAAGATTTTTCACAGTGGGGATGCAAGGATTATGGACAGAGTGATTTATACGATAAGGGTACGTAATTCATTATGGGTAGTTCAACTTCCACTAATGACTGGGCTATTTTGGTAAACAACTCAGAAATGATGAAGTGAGAATTGATTTGATTTTGATTTGCAATTTAAATGCATTAACGTGTCATTTTGCGACGATGGATTTGCGACGATGGACATGTGTACTCCAAAAATTATGACGTATAAGTATTGGGACATACTTAGTGTGCATGTACCGCGTATTGGTATTACACGTATATCAAGTATATGTGAAATACATATTGAGTACTTTAAAAAAAAGAAAAAAAGAAAAAAAATTGAATATTGGGTACAACATGGGCACCTATCGCATACTTTCGTGAATATGTCTAAAGAATAAATGTAATTTTTTAATCTCTCTATCTTGATTTTGATCTTTCGATCAAGAGTTTTTTAAGTAAGTTTTTATTTTCTTATTTTCTGATTATCATTTTCAGTAGACTTGATTATCAGTTGTCTTGATTTTCTTGATTATATCAAGAGTATTCTGGTCTAGATAGACTAATCCTTAGATTAGGCTTTCATTATAATCTGGAGGCAAATTTATTATAAATCCGATGCACATCATCTGGTAGGGGCAAATATTGTCTTTAGAAAAATGACATCATAATGCAGTTTGATGCATATAATACAATCATTTCTGTAGAAGTTCTCAAAGACATTAGAGTTGATCACCAGTTTTGAAGACTCCGAGACCACATTTTTTCCTACAATTTGTATTATCAAGAAAGATAATCTTACCTTACTATTTCTATTATTGAGATTCTAAGAAGATAGATAAAGATGATTAGAGTTTAAGTGGAAAATCATTGAGTGATTAAGGGCTATAGAAGAAGAAGAGTCAATAGTTGGTGACAATAAGCCTAACTCACCTACAAACTTCTTACCTTTCCACATATAATTAAGTTAGTTGAGTCCCTTACCAATTCAAGTCACACATGTCCTTCCCTCCACTTTCCCTCACTCCAAAATATTCCCTAAATAAGTTCTCCCATTTTCTTCTCTACCAAACACCAAATTACAAAATCACCTCAAATTACGTACACACATGGCAATATTCGTGACTTTTTTGCGCTTACTTCCCACTTTGGCAATAGCATTAATAACCGTTCTGATTGTGCCGGTTCATTGCCAAATCCAGTCCACTTGCACGGCTTCAATGTTTTCTAGTGTCTCTCCTTGCATGAACTTTATTACCAATAGCACTGCCAATGGAACTTCACCAACCACAGATTGTTGCAATTCACTCAGATCACTCACAAGCAATGGCATGGCTTGTCTCTGCCTCATTGCCACTGGAAGCGTTCCCTTCCAAATACCCATCAACCGAACTGTAGCCATTTCGCTCCCACGCACTTGTAAAATGCCCCGTGTGCCTGTCCAGTGCAAAGGTGATATTTTTTTAACACATGCCTATTTTTATGTTCCATTTCTTTGGTTTTATCGATTTAATTAGGCTTTTCATTCAAATAATTTCATTTTTTTCGTGTTGCAGCCTCTGTTGCACCTATTCCAGCTCCAGGTACTCTATTAATTTGAAATGTTTTCGTGTTTTTCATGTTTTATCAAGATGTTTTTTGTGTTTTGTGTAAGCTAATGCATTTGCTTTGCTTACTTCTTGACAGGTCCTATTGCGCTTAGTCCAACTTTGTCTCCCAGTGCTGCTGCTCCTCTTAGTCCTCAAGGTACTATGTAGCTCTCCTACTTAAGCTCGACTCATGTTTGGATTGTTAAAAGCTCAGTTGAAATTTGCGGGTTATGCAAATAAGTCAAATTCGAACATATTTTAAATTTGTTATTTTTGAGAGCTCAAACTTGGCTCAATAAACTTATATGTCCTATATAGCTGTATATATATAAACCCTCATTCCAAAGGTGGTGTTGGAAAACGAACCAAGTTCATTGAGTTCAACTTGTATTCAACTCGTTAAAAGTTCATTCAAAATTAACTTGTTATGTAAACAAGCCAAGTATGAAGATGTTTTAAAACCTGTAAATTTTCTGAGCTCGAGCCAAATTCAGCTAGACAAGCTTATATATACTATATAAGTTATAACCGTATAAAATAAAATAAAAGGCTCATTAAGTTTTCAAATCAACTTTGAATTGAACAACCTACTAGTAAAATATGACTGTTGTGAGATGTTTGGAGGGCTTCTCTGTCCTAACAAAAAAAATTTTTTTGGGCTAGCAGCTTCTGTTGCACCCAATCTAGTGTCACCGGCTTTGGCACCAAAAGCTGATACAACTCCACTTCTCACTCCGCCATCTCCAACCGTGGCATCGGAAGCTCCAACTGCTAATTCAGGGAGTCGGCCAGTTCTCACCCCATCAGTTGCCACACCGCCTCACAATTTTTCACCATTTCTGCAGCTTGCTCTGCTAGCAGCTATAGTTCTAAAGTACTACTATTAATTCCATCTCTCTTGCAAAATAAGTTGAGAGAGAGTTGAGAGAGTGATATTGAAAGAGAACTCTGTTATTAAAACTATATTCAGAAACCAAATAGAGGCTCCATAATATAGGAGCTGATACAAAACATCATTATGATATAATTCAATATAATAAGGAAAATGAGGCCGAAAGAAGGCGGGCGACCGAAAGCAGGGACAAAGAATGACAAAGAATCCTATCTAGCTAGATGTATGACCATTATATACATACTATAATATATTAACATATTATATTAACAATTATATTAATATGTTAACAGTCCCCCTCAAACTCAAAGAGGACAAACATCAACCAATTGGAGTTTGGAGACAAGTTCAACAAAGCGGCCAGGAGAATGAGCTTTGGTGAAGATATCAGCAGGTTGATCAGCAGAGGAGATTGGATGGAGATGGACAGTACCACGAGTGACGTGTTGACGAATAAAATGACAGTCAATCTCAATGTGCTTAGTGCGATCATGAAAAACATCATTGTGAGTAATTTGAAGAGCACTTTGATTGTCACAAAAGAGGGCAGTAGCGCCAAAGGGGGAAACATCCATGTCAGCAAGAAGCCAGCGAAGCCAGAGAAGCTCCTGAGTAGTATCAGCAAGAGCACGATATTCGGCCTCGGTACTGGAGCGAGCAGTAAGAGATTGTTTCTTGCTACGCCAAGAAATAAGAGAATCACCCAAGAAAAAGCAGAACCCAGTAATAGAGCGGCGGTCAGTAGGATCCCCAATCCAATCAGCATTGGAAAAAGCACGAAGCTGGAGAGAGGAGTGGGCGGAATAATGAAGTCCATGAAACAAGGTACCTTTGAGATAACGAAGGATACGAACTAATGCAGCATAATGAGGGGTACGAGGAGCTGACATAAACTGGCTGACAATATGAACGGCATAGGCAATATCAGGACGAGTAACAATGAGATAGACAAGGCTGCCAACCAGCTAACGATATAGGGTAGCATCAGAGAGAAGAGTGCCATCAAGAGGTGTAAGACGACTCTGAGGCTCCAGGGGAGTGGAGGCAGTCTTGCAATCCGTAAGACCAGCGCGGGTGAGAAGATCAGAGGTATACTTAGCCTGAGAGAGAAAAGACCCCGTGGAATCATGGAAGATTTCAAGACCCAAGAAATAGCTGAGATGACCAAGGTCTTTCATCTCGAAATGATGGCTAAGAAACTGTTTAAGGCATAGAATACCATCAAGATCGTCACCGGTGATAATCATATCATCCACATAAAGGAGAAGCAAGGTGGTCCCTTGAGCAGTGTTCCGGATAAAAAGAGAAGTATCATAAGAGCTGGAGGTGAAACCACAGTCATGAATAGTAGAGCTGAACTTGGCAAACCAAGCGCGCGGAGCTTGTTTGAGACCATATAAAGCACGCTGAAGTTTGCAGACTTTATGAGGTGGATAAGTAGACCCAATGGGAGGTTGCATGTAGACCTCCTCAAGAAGAACACCATTAAGAAAAGCATTTTCACGTCCATTTGATAAAGATCCCAGTGTCGGGTGGTAGCAATCGTAATCAGGCTGCGAACAGAGGTGAGACGAGCAACAGGAGCAAAGGTCTCCTCATAGTCAATACCATATTCTTGGTTAAAGCCTTTTACAACAAGGCGGGCTTTGTAGCGCTCAATAGATCCATCAGAACAAGTTTTGATTTTGTAGACCCATTTGCAACCAATCGCAGTCTTGCCAGGAGGAAGATCAACAATGTCCCAAGTGTGAGTTTTGTCTAAAGTCTGCAATTCATCAGTCATAGCTTACTGCCAAAGTGGATTAGAGCGAGCCTCACGATAGGAGGTCGGTTCATAAGTAGAAAAAGCAGTAGAACCAACAATAAAGTCATGAAGATGAATAGAAGGTTGGGTTACCCGGTATGGTCGAGTAGAGGCAGGAGGAGCCAGAGGGAGAGACTCACCAGGAGGGGAGGATCCCGAGGGAGCAAGAGCAGGACCATCAGAAGGAGCAAGTGCATGGGACAGACCAGTAGGCAAGGCAGGCTCGAGAGAGGCTGGCGGGGGCGGTGGAGCAAGCTCAGCAGAGAACTCGAGAGAGGCTGGCAAGGGCGGTGGAGTAAGCTCATCAGAGGACTCGAGAGAGGCCGGCAAGGGCGGTGAAGTAAGCTCATCTGAGAACAGATCCGTGGAAGGGTCAGTAAAAAACAGAGAGG